GCAATAAGATAACTCATTTTCCAAATATGTGGAAAATGAGGAATCACAAGGAACACAGAACAGGAACAAAGCATTCACCCAGGAAGTTGTAGTTCCTGTTTTCTTTTGTGTGTTGGTAAAGGGGCACCTTGGGGAGAGAAGCCATATTCTGTTGTTAGATAAAAAGAAGAAAATACCTAGTTAGGGTTGAAGTTTCATTACTCTCCCTGATAATTAAGTTAGTAAGAATTTTTTTTTTGTATCTTTTTGCAGAAACTGACTTTGTCCACGAATATAGTTAATCCTTATTATTTGTGGGGATTCTGTATTTATAATCTGCCCACATCCTTGAATTTATTTGTAACCTCCAAATCAATGATTGTGACATTTTCATGGTCATCTATGGGCATGTGCAGAGTGGCAAAAAATTGGACTCACCAGGGTACATATTCACAGCTGAGGTAGAACAAGGTGACATTCTGCCTTCTTGTTTCAGCTATTATACTGTAAACAAGTGTTCTTTCCATGGTCTATTCATGCAGTGTGACAGGTCCCCCACCGGGTCATTTAAGGGCATATGTCTGCTGCCTTATCCCTGAAAGCTGGGCAGTGAGCCAAGACCATGGTGCCCAGCCAAGAAGCAGGTGTTTCTGAGAACCCAACATCCCAGAGAGTATCTGAGAACCTATTGAGAAAGACAGTTTCCTCACTCAAACACAGCAGGCAAAGAGCCAGAAAATTAGCTTGAAAGAAGTTTGGAGATGGGTGGGGCCACAGATCTCTAGAGCTGTCCTGCCACCATCCAGGAGTGCCCTGTATGTAACTCATCTATTCACCAAGCTGGACTTACCCAACTTACACTTTGGTCTCTGAGCTCCTTTCAAGTTTGGGGGGAGGAGAGGAAGTTAATTCCCATGTTTTTCTCATAACAAGTTAGTGCCATGTATTGTTTGCATATTTATGCTTTTTTGTTAAAGATTTTGCTCTTTCAAATGACCTCCAAATATAGTTCTGAAATGCTGTCTGGTTTTCCTAAGGGCAAGAGAAACCACAATGTGCCTTCAGAGAAAACACGTATGTTTGATGAAGTTAGTTCAGGTATAAGTTATAGTGCTACTGGCTGTGAGTTCAATGTTAATGAATCAACAACATATATAAAACAAAATTTCTTGAAACAGACACAGATAAAACAAGGTATATATTGTTCTATTGATCCAAATGTTACCCAAGGCCCAAGGGAACCTAACCCCATATTTCTCCTAGGAGCAATGGTTCAGTAGTTGCTTAATTCAGTGTTTGTGGTGACATTATAGGACATAACTACTGTGAATAATAAGAACCAACAGAAAGTACAGTTATTGATTCCTGCTAGGTACTAGACATGGACTTTGTGCTACTTATAGAAAAATTATTAAATAAGTACATATGAGACCTTCCTACATGCCTGACTTATTCTAAGCAATGGGGACACAGTGGTGTATAAACCAAAGACTCTATCCTTCTTTCCTCATGAAGCTTATATTCTAGTAAAGGCAGAGAAAAATTAGATATATAATTGGTGGTGATAAGTGCAATGAAGGAAAATTCCATGTTCTGGTACATAGATTAAGTAAATAAAATACAGAGAAGTTAACCAAGTTTCCTATGAAAAATAAATACAAATGAATGATGTCAAAATCCAAGGTTAATATACATATTTAATTGTGTCTAAATTTAATACATATTTTAAGCTGTCTTCATAATAAAACAAAAACTTTAAAATGTTTTTAGTTCAATTACTCACCTTCCAGGTTTTATTTTTTTTTAATTAGTGCTTTATTTTCATTTTACTCCCACTATATAGACATTTACAATATTGTCTTACACGTTTTGCTTAGACTGACCCATATCTTTACCATTTTTGTTTACCATTTTGTTTTCTACCTCATACATTCCTTCTGTAGTCATTTTTGAATAATTTCCTTCTGAACTACATCTTTCACATGTTCTTTTAAGAAGAGTTCGTTGGTCTTTAACGTTTCGGGGGCTTAGTTTCTCACAAATGCCTTTCTCTCAAAATTCAAATTTTGACCTAATCCTTGAAAGGAACTTTCATTGAATATGTATTTCCAGGATGACAAGTTTGCTTTAATCAGTACTTTGAAGATATATGCTTTTTGGTTTGATTTATATAATTACAACCAGGCAGTCACTTTATCTTTGGTGTACACCAGTTCTACTTTGATCTGTTTTAAAGGGTATTTCTTTTTAGTTATTATACTTGGAATTTATCATAATTCTGAAACAGATGATTTTGCATCAGAGCAAGAGGGCTATGGGAAAGGGCCCTTTCTCAGGGGATGTAGCTTTTTTTAACGATCTGGGACACATGGGGGATTTGCTAAAATGAGCCTCAGAAGGAAAATTGGTTTTCTAACCTGTGACTTTTTGACATGAATTATTTCTTTGTCTTTATTTTTCAAGGAAACTATGTGTATTAAAGTACCTAGATTTGTTTGATAATCAACAAATCTTTCCTTTAAATGAATATATTCTGAATGCGGTTTCTGTCTTAGAGGCCAGGAGGACCCAGTTTACTTTCATATTTTTCTTATAAGAGGGCTTATTTATTTTAAATAAAGAGTAATTATTACAATATATATATATATACATTTATATACATATGTATATTTGCATATATATACATAATTAAATATTTTACACATTCTGGAAAGTTGCTAAATATATCTGTTTGAATATCACCTTTCCTTCATTTTTTCTATTATTTCCTAAAAATCTTAAACAATCTCACTTAAGTTTTTCTTTAAATTATCTTCCAAATTTCTATCTCTTTTTCTCTCTGTGCTACATTCTCTGAATTCTTTCAGATCTCCATCTTAATGCACTAATAATGCTCTTCATCTGTTTTATTTTATCCATTTATTTTGAAATTTTAATATTTATATTTTTATTTCTTGAAATCCTATCTGGTTATGTTTAAAATCTCTTTTGTCATATTTTATAGACTCTTTTATTGGTAATACTTTCAAAACACCTTTAATTGATTGAATATATTCAGTGTATCATTTTCTAATTCTTTTCAGAGCCAAATTTTCTGTTATTTCTGGGGACATAAACATATGATGACCAATTTTTGGTTTGTTGATGATTTTTGATTGTGAACTAATTTATAGGAAATGTGTCATGAGACTTGGGTTTAAGTCGCATTCCTCCAAAGAAAATTTGGGTTCGCCTCTACCAGTTGCCTGGGATCAGTATGGAACTCAATGTAAATTATCCTGTTGAGATTTTTAAGAAAACTGATTGTTTAAACTTAGTCTGCTAACACAATTACTTGTTTGTAGTAATAGCTCTTCTAATATTTCTTGTTGACTCTTTTGTGGGTTTTTTTTCTAATTCACATTTTGGGAGGCTGTAAACAGCTGGACACACAGATTTAGAGAGAAGTTTTCTATTAACTATTTAACCTCCAACAGAATGTATTCTTTGTCTCTGATCATCTGCAGCTATCAGTTCTATCAAAATTAAAGCTCAAGAACACCAGATATGGGTAATTAGCAGTATTAGAACTCACTTCGTCTACTGGATTTCTATTTATCTCTAGTTCCTTTTTTTTTTTTTTTTGAGATGGAGTCTTGCACTGTTGCCCAGGCTGTAGTGCAGTGGTGCAATCTCCACCTCCTGGGTTCAAGCAATTCTCCTGTCTCAGCCTCCCAAGTAGCTGAGACTACAAGTGTGCACTACGACACCCGCTAATTTTTTTGTATTTTTAGTAGAGATGGGGTTTCACCTTGTTGGCCAGGATGATCTCGATCTCCTGACCTTGTGATCTGCCCCCCTCAGCCTCCCAAAGTGCTGGGATTACAGGTGTGAGCCACTCTAGTTCTTTAACATCTGGCAATTTTGCTTATTTCCTCTCAACTTAGCATACACATACGTGCACACACACACACTCACACACATGTATGTGTGTGTATATATACATATGTATATCTGTGTGTGTATATATATACATATGTATATTTGTGTATATATACATAAGTATTGCTAGCATTATTTTGTTATTCCTAATGGGAAAATTTTTCAGGTTTGTAGTTCCCAATACTAACAGAAATAAATGTTTACTGTCTAACAGTTTATGACAGTCTTTCATACTTTATATAAAGTTTTCATTTTTAAATGTATTCCTCAATCTTCTTGTATTAACATGTACTTTGCCTCATGTTTTAAATGGCTGATATATTAAATATTGTGAATGAAAATATCATTTATTTAACAAGTCCCCTACTGATGGATATTTATTTTCAGTTTCTTGTTATTACAAAAAAAAAGTCAACCTATATATGTGTGTGCGTGTGTGCATATATATATGGAACTTTTATATATATATATACACACATATGTGTGGGTATAAAAATTCCATATATATGTGTGTGTGTATATATATATATATAAAAGTTCCATACACACACACACACACACACACACATATAGGGTACATATATATATGGAACATACAGATGGACATATATATGGAATTTTTATATATATACACACACATGCACACACATATACATGGAACTTTAATATATATACACACATATATGGAACTTTTATACACACACATACATGGAACTTTTATACACACACATACACACAGGTTCTAACACCTAGATTAAATTTATAGAATTAGAATTGCCAAGTCAAAGAAATAGTACTTAAATTTTGATGTTTATTTCTAATTTACTTTTCAGAGTTTGCAACAACTAATTTGAGAGAACAAAAAGAAACTCTGTGCCTATATCCCCATTGCCTTATCTACATTGGGTTTTATGAGCACATTATTATTAATTTGAGCAACAGTTTCTTAACTTTATTCTAGCATTTATTCCATGGAGATAAAACATATTTTGGAAACAAATGAAGTGCCTTTAAAAGACTTTTGTTTATGGCAAGTGAGGAACTGATTTGAGCCAATTTTTCTCATATTCAACTGTGAAATATAATCTAATATTATGGCAATGTCATTAGATCTCTCATCTGACTGTGAGTGTCCTAATTGTTTGGAGGGGACTCAGAATGAGTCTGATTGGAATCCCTGTTCCAACAAGAGTGGTAATGGCTCTTTATATTCAAGATCAAGGAAGAAATCTACGCTTTCTTGTAGCGTGCAGAGCTTTCCTTCTCAGTGTTGTCCCATCAAGCCAGAGAGTGATAACAAAGAAGACTCAGCAGTTCTTCCCTCAGACGAAGAAAGGTATGTGGGGTCTTCTGAAAACAATAATCTCGTTCTGAGCCTTGAGGATATCAAAAGGAAACTCAAGCCATTGAGAGAATGGACTATCCAAGAGTTACTGAGGGAGTTTGGGGATAGTGGGAGGTTCCAACCAAACTCCATGTCCCTGGGCTACTTTAGAGATCAGGTCGTTTTAAAGTTCAGAAGAGCTCTGTATTATTCTGGAATTTGGGTGATGTATGTTCAAGGCTACAAACCTCAACAGCACTTTACAGCTAATTACTTTAAAAGAAATCCTGGTTGCCTACACCGGCTGGTTCCCTGGCTGAAACAGGAACTAACAGCTGTTTATGGAGATTATGGCCACACAGTAAAGAATATCCTAACCACCATCCTCCATCACATGACACAATATGACTTGGACAGTGAGTCTTTTATTCACTTCCTAGAACCTTATCTCTTACAATACACCCACCATTTCCTACATGAGTTTATTAGTTTTGTTCATTCACCTTACAACGTGGAGACCTATGACCAGCGAGCCATCTATCAATGTTCTGCTGCTTCACCATGTGTAAAAGAGAAGCCCACTGCATCAGCTTCTATTTCCCCTTTGCCTAAGGATCACACTGTACTGATATCTCAACATAATCTAAAGCAGCCTAAAAACACCCAGGGTCAATGGAATAAAGAGGAGAGGCCCCTGTCAGGCTTGAAACAGTTTTCAAATAGTACCTCTTTCTTGAAGAAATCTGAAATCCCACCAGTCTATGATAAAATAGTAAGCAAAATCTATGTTGGAATCAAAGATGAAGCCGAATCAGGCAACCACAAAAGCATCGTTTCTACAAATAATATACTCCAGAAATGGGCTACTCCAAGGGAAAGGTACCCAGGCTTACTGAATTGCAAAAAAAAAGTTCAAGATAAAAAGACGGAAGGAATAAAGTTGTTTCCTGATCATGTTCATGATCTGGTAAAGAGTGACACAACTGCACACCCCTTCAGTACCCCAGCAATTTCTAATCAGGTGCAACCACAGAAATACAGTTTAAGGGAAAGAAAGGGTTCGAGCATTGGACAGAAGATAAACTTTCAGAAAAAAGAAGAAAATAGCAAATACTCAGATTCTTCACCAAAGACCTTGCAAAGATTGTCCAGAGAAAGATTCTTGAAAAGTTGCAAATCCAGAGAGAGAGACCCCTCTTGGAGTAGCATTTCAGAAAATGCCTTTTCTCCTAAGACAGATGGCGGGAAAGTGAGTTCTTTGAGAAAAAACTGATTGAAGTGTACACAATCTTCCCAGTTTGTAGAAATTAGTTCACACCCCCATAGAAGAATCCAAAGACTATCAAGGTCCACTACTCACAGATCCAAATCCTGGTGTGTTGGATCTAGAAAGAGATCTGTAAGCAGAGAATCGAGTAATCTCTCTCTGAGAGGAAGTCACAGAAGTGAATACTTCCCCCAGCATATATGCTGCAAGCCCTCAAAAGAAAAACATGCACATGGCAATGAATCAAACTATGGGAGCCCATCTTCAACTACAATGCAATACGTGAAGCTTTCTTCAACTGCTACAAAGAGAACCAAGTGTCCTTCTAAAAGTGAAGGTGCTCCCCAAGCAGGAAGACACTGTAACAGTCCCACATGCCTACAGCTCCAGGAACACAGACCCCCCAAGTAAACAGGAGATAAAGCAAGAAAATACATTTCCTAGAGCTAGAAGAACTAGAGCAGTTAGGCACAGAAAAACCAAATGCCATTATTCAGACATACACACCACAGAGGACATCAGTGATGAACTGAGCAATGTGGATGATATAAGACAAATGAGTGGAGTGTCTGAATATGCACCATCCTGCAGGAGGCAAATCCACCAAAACAGCATTTGAATCTTTAGAATGTTCACTGGGTCAAGAAAGAATATAAAGGAGACATAGTATCAGAAACATAGGTGCAAATTGTTTTAAAAGGCAAATCAGTCTACTAAACTAGCACTAATGTGGTTTAGATTATATTCATACTTTTAAACAGTGTATCAGTCTATTAAACTAGCTACTAAGCTAGTTTATATTATATTCATATTTTCAAAGAATATGAATATAATCTAAAAATATTACTAAAAAGATTTATCACATCACTTGGTAACTGAAAGTAAAAGCCTGGTTATTAAATTCAAAGTTCATTTTGGAGACAAATGCAAATCATTAAATTGGTTATATATGTAAACATTTCTGCTTTTTTTCTTATGAACCAAATTATTAAAATATTTGACTTATTTGTTTCTAGATTTAACTGTAAAGATTGACTATTCAAAGTTCCAAACACCCTGAAGTCTATGCTAACAATAGAAGTATGAGTTTCCTAACACAAGTTATGCATAAGTATGTTACTAAACATATGTGTTATTGTATTAGTTCATTCTCACATTGCTATAAAGAACTACCTGAGACTGGATATTTATAAAGGAAAGCAGTTGAATTGATCACAATTCAGCACAGCTCAGGAGGCCTCAGGAAACTTACAATGATGGCAGAAGGGGAAGCAAACACATTCTTCTTCACATGGTGGCAGGAGAGAGAAGTGCAGAGCCAAGGCGGGGACTGCCCCTTATAAAACTATCAGATCTCATGAGAATTCACTATCATGAGAACAGCATGTGGACACTGCCCCCATGATCTAATCACCTCCCACAAGGTCCCTCCCACAACATGTGGAAATTACAATTTAAGATGAAATTTGGGTGGGGACACAGAGTCAGACCATATCAGTTATTTTTAAAATAATAATATATATTGAGGTCTGTTACATTTTAGACCTAATGCATTTTTAGTCTCTGAAAAATAAAGGCAAGGTCACTGTCTTAAGGTATAGGCATTGCCTCAGAGTATTTCGCAGCCTAGTTACCAAAGCAGATGTAAGTAAATGGGTAAAAATGAGCATCTGTGGAATTTTTGGCACCCCTTTTACTATGACCCTCTCTCAAAAACTGTACCTCCATATGCTCTGACAAGATATCTTCATTAGATGCTGCCTTTTTTTTTTTTTAAATAACTCTGATTCTCCATCTATAGTACCATGGCTTAACAATGGTGGCTATCTAAGCCAAGCTAATCATAGTATTTTGCCCCTCTGGCCATACAATATAGTATTTCCCTGGTATTTTTCAAACTGGTTCTGAGCAACAGGGTCATTCTTTTTCCCTGTTAGCACATGGTGAGAAATTTGAAGTTTAGATATTAAGTTGTTGCAAAAGTAATTGCAGTTTTGCCATTAAAAGTAATGACAAAAATTACTTTTGCATCAACCTAATACTATCAAGAGCTGGATTTCTCAATATGAAAAAGTCAATTTGAGGTAAGACAGGAGAAAACTAACAGAGTAAAGTGAGACAAGTTAGGCGAATAGATTCCTGGAAGTGGGACTTGAATCTTCTTGAACCCAAGCTGTCATTCTATCTTTTATGTAGTTGTATTATTTTAACCCTCCCTAAGTATTGTGTCTTTTTTTTTTTTTTTTAGAGATGGGGTTTCCCTATGTTGGCCAGGCTGGTCTCTAACTCTTTCTTTTTTCTTTTTTTTTTTAATTTTTGGAAAGAAAGAAAAAAAAAGGAGTGAGGGAGAGGAAGAAAGAAGAAGAAAAAAAGGGAGCGAGAATGGGAATGTAGCCTTATTCTAAAAATGGGTATTAATAATGGCCGATCAATATTTTGTGTATTTAAGGTGGAGAATGTATATTTGGTGTATTTAAAATGGAGAGCTCTATAAATATTTATTGAGTTTACTTGTTCCAGATCTGAGTTCAAGTCCTGGATATCCTTATTAATTTTCTGTCTCATTGAGTCTAAATCTCTTGGTGGGTCTTATGTATCTGGGCGTTAGGATTGTTAACTCTTATTGTTGCATTGATCCTTTTACCACTATATCTTTGTTGCTTTGAAATCTATTTTATCAGATGCAAGAATTGCAACTCCTGCTTTTCATTTATTTATTTATTTTTGCTCTCCATTTGGTTGGTAAATCTTTCTCCATCCCTTTGTTTTTGAGTCTTTGTGTATCTTTGGATGTGAAATGGGTCTGGATGTAGCATACCATTAGGTTTTGGCTGTATCTTTTGATTGGGGGATTTAGTCAACTTAAATTTAGGGTTATTGCCATTTGATGTTAACTGGCTATTTTAGCCATTCGTTGATGTAAAATCTTCATTGATGTTGATGCTCTTTACTTTTTGGTATATTTTTAGAAAGGCTAATACTGGTTGCTCCTTTCTATGTATAATGCTTCTTTCAGAAGCTCTTGTAAAGCAGGCCTGGTGGTAATAAAATCTCTGAGTACTTGCTTGTTCATAAAAGATTTTACTTTTCCTTCAATTGTGAAGCTTAGTGTGGCAGGATATGAAATTCTGGTCTGAAAGTTCTGTTCTTTAAGGATGTTGAATATTGGCCCCCACTCTCTTCTGGCTTGTAGGGTTTCTGCCGAGAGATCTGCTGTAAGTCTTACAGGCTTCCCTTTGTGGGTAACCTGACCTTTCTCTCTGGCTGCCCTTAGTATTTTCTCCTTCGTTTCAACCTTGGTGAATTTAACAATTATGTGCCTTGGGGTTGCTCTTCTTGAGGAATACCTTTGTGGTGTTCTCTGTATTACCTGGGGTTGAATATTGTCCTGCTTTGCTAGATGGGGAAAGTTTTCCTGAATAATATCCTGAAGAGTATTTTCCAGCTTGAATTCATTCTCTTCGTCGTATTCAGGTACACCTATCAAACGTAGATTAGGTCTTTTCACATAGTCCCATATTTCTTGGAGACTTTGCTCATTCCTTTTTATCCTTTTTTCTCTATTCTTGTCAATGCATTTCCTGTTTGCCTTCTTTGTTAAATCAGGATTTCCATTTACTTTCAATCAAGCAAGTCACCAGGAATTAGCAGAATGGAAGTCTGCTGGAGAATGAACAGGGAGCAATAATTGCCTTAGGGAAGTTTCTGAAGGCTTTTTGGAAGTCATATATGGGTATAGTCCTGAATGGTGAGTAGGAGTTTACCAGGTAAATTTATTGGCAAGGGCTATCAAGAAAAAGGAAGATTTGAAGAAAAGTAAGAAAAATGACATTTTCTAAAACTCCACTTCTAGTGTAGCTGGAAAATCCTGAGAGATATGTTAAGAAGGGAGGCTGATGCCAAGCTGTAAACAGGCATGAAATGAGGCTGAGTCCACACCAGTCACAAAGCATCTAAAATTAGCACAGGACTTAAAATTCCAATTTCTTATTTTTAAATAGTATTTTGTTTACTTTCCTAACTCTTTTGAAAAAGAATAAAGACATGTTCCTAAAGAAATCTTAGAAAACCCATGTAACAGATATTTGTGTTCCAGTAAATTTAGTTGTAAATACTGCCATATTCCCTTTTTTTTGTATGTATACTTTATCAGGTTAGGTGAGCTTTCTACTATCAACCATTAGCTAAACCTTCCATGGTAGAGATTTATGGAAATACATGCAAAGTCCTGAAATTAAAAACAGGAAATCAATTATAGTAGTTCAGAACACCACAATTTAGCAGCAGTTTGTAAAAAAGAAAGTACAACTCTTATTGTGGTCAAAAGTATACTTATGAGCCAGTAATGCTAGGTTGCATTCAAAGATGTAGAGAATTTCTCCTGGTAGAGAAAAGCAAAGTAGACATGTCAGTGTCTTCAAATACGCAAACGAATGTTCTCTAGGAGATGTATTTTTCTAAATAATTTGTAAAGCAAATCTGGCTTCTTTTAAGGGTAAAGTTTCAGGAAGGTGATTTCTGCTTAATCAAAGAAAGCCTTTTTTATTAGACTAGTCATATGGTTTCTTTAAGAATGGGCAAGAGGCCAGTGGAGAAAAGAAATTCTCATCCTTAGAAGTGTTCATGCTTGGCTGGATTCCGATAATGTAAAAAATTTGACTGGATGCTTTCTAAATTCCAGTGTAACTCAAAGATTCCAAGACTCATTAAAGAGTCGAATAAATGTTCTAATGAATCAAAACTATCATACCCTTAAATATGGAAACAGCATTTCATGGATGGGAAAAATATACTTAATAACAAATACTGAGAGTTTACTATCTGTGATATACACACACACACACACACACACACGCAGATGCAAATTCAATGAGGCAGTACTTTAATTCACACTTTATCAATGAGGCAAGCTAGTAAATGTTGTGGTTTGAACTCAAACCTAGATGGCCCCAACTCGAGTAAATGATCTTAAACCACAACCTGGTACTACCTACTTTTTAGTTGTTGTTGCCATTTTTATTTATGTATCTTTCACATCCTCTGGTAAACACATTCACAAACACTATGTCATTTTACTACTACAAAAAGAGAGTAAGGTTGGTTTAATTACACTTATCTTTTCCACAAGGAAAATGAGTTTGAAAGAGATTGTATCATAACAAACAGCAGAGCTGAGAGTAAAACTGTAGTTCTAACTGCCCATGCTTTGCGTTTTTATAGCTTATTCTGGTTGACTGAACTTTTCAAATCTAACTCAGAAATAATTACAACCGTTGATCACCTGGTCCTCTCTGCTACTGAGAGTACTTTTTCATTCAAAATCCAGAATACTAACATCATCATACAGGATGAAGTGCCAAGGAGGCACTTCTATTTATTTATAAGAATAAAAACTAATTCCTCTTTCCCAAGTTCACCCTGAATTGTCCTTCTGATGCCAGTGGGGTTCATCTCAGCCAGCTGGGAGGAGGCAGGTGACTGATTTTCAATACATATGCCTGAGTTCACACAATATCTTCTATGGCATGTGGGTCAGCTGAAACCTTGGAGGTCTGGGGCCAGTTTTTATCTCTGTCCTTGACTTCCTAGTGCTCTTTGGAATGATACTCTTTAAGGTATATTTTATGTGTCTAATAAAAAGCAGGTAAGGAGAAAT